TAGTGTATTGATTAGTGGTTTTTGTGTAAATACGACGATCAAAATGCAGAAATATATCCATACAAGCTAATGTTTAGTTTTTTCTTCTTTCTTTTTCTTTTCTGTTAAGTGAATAATTCCCATTATAATAGCGTGCTGAGACTAATTATTTATATTTGTAGATGATATTCACTTCCATATTACTGAATTATATATTGAGTTACAAACACATGTTTAACGTTTCAAAATGAATATTTTAATGAAAGTTTCACTGTTTTTTTTTCTAGAGAACGGACCACACAAAATATTGCGTTTCGTATATAAGTTGCTAAGATCAATCAATGATAATTTAAGTTTATATTTGACCCACACCCTTTTTTTTTTAAATGTATACATCAGATAAAATAAGAGGAAAAACAAATTTCTAGGATTTATGCAAAATGAAATAAATAGCCGCCATTATATGTATAATTAATAACATGTTCTTTCTTTTATTTATTCATGTTTTTTTTTTCTTATTTTAGATTTTCATACGCATGATCAAACAAACAGAAAGGACATTTTTGTTCAAATGTCATTATTACGAATGATAGAACATAGATAGTTATTATTCGCGCTTTCGATCCCATGATGGCAATAGGCCTAAGAAAATAAAGATGCTATTCCATTGGCGCATAAGTTCTGTGAGTTTGGATCAGTAGAATAATATCGCCAATATAAAACTACATTTTAAGGAAAGCAATTATATATTCTGATAGCGCTCGGAATTCTCTATCACCCTGTGTATTTAAGTCTTGACTTCCATTTATTTGCTGAAAAATAGCTTGAGTACAGTGAAGACACCCTCGCCCTCAGATTCCCACAAACTTCATTTTTTCTTCTTTTCTCATGTGTTTTTAAAATGTTTATCTATATAGTAATCCGTTTTTTTTAGAAAAGTAATTATATATTCTGAGAGCTCTTGAAATGCTCTATCGCCCTGTGTATTCAGTTCTTGACTTGAACTTATTTGCTGAGAAATATTTCGAACATTGTCAATACGGGTGAAGATATCTTCATTGTATTCAAAATACTTTTCAACAAATACAAGTCAAGACTTAAATACACAGGGTGATAGAGAATTCCAAGCGCTATCAGAATATATAATTACTTTCCTTAAAATGTAGTTTTATATTGGCGATATTATTCTACTGATCCAAACTCTCAGAACTTATGCGCCAATGGAATAGTTTACGAAATAATAATCGTGATATATTGCCATCAAACATTTTTCTGTGCGTATTTATCTATGAATATAAGCGTGAAATGATTATCCCTTACGGCGTTGTCAATGACGGGACGTCACAAGGAAAAGAAAGAAAAAAAAAAGAACATAGGCAAAAGAAAGCTAAGTTGTAGTTTTGAAAAATGGCCTCATTGTTCGTTTGTCTAACTTCCTGTCTCAAAGAAAGAAAGACAGAAAAAAATGATCACCTTTCCTTTCTTTCTGACTGAGAAAAAACAGACGATGAAGAAAAAGAAAAATGGAAACCTGTGAACGTTCATCAGTTACACACTGAGAAGAAAAAAAAACGGATGTGTAACACTAGATTCATTTATTCTAGCTTTTCAAGTTGGCTTTAATTTGTCGTTTTTTTTCTTTTTTGTAGATTAAAATTTTTCTTATTAATCTTTTCGATAAATCGTAAGTACTATGTCCAGTCAAATCTTATTATTTTATTATTTATTTAAACGAACATAGATATACAATGTCGACAATAGCCAATAAACAAAAATTAGTAGAACAATTACGAGCTGAAGCTAATATTGAACGTGTTAAAGTATCGATTGTATGCAAAGATTTAATCAAATTTTGTCAAGATCATGAAAGTGGCGATGTTTTAGTTCGTGGTTGGGCTGGATTTGCAAGAGAAAATCCATTTAAAGAAAAGCAAGGTTGTGTTACTTTATGACTAAGATATGCGGTGCTATTTATCTATTTGATCAAGTATATGCTTGGCAGTTTAGCACGTTATTTACATCGTAATTGGTATTGAACAAGGAAAAAATTAATAAAAATTTTAATGTGCAGTTTCGAATTGATCTTAAATCATTTCTGCTTTTCTCATTTTATTATCTTTGTGTGTTGTGGATCAAACTTCTTTTTCTTCTTTGTTTTTCGTTTATTTGCTTATTGTCATTTGATGTTATCATATAAATATTAATAAAAAAAAATAATGAGGATGATGATGAGAATGACTAGAGTTTATTGACTTATTCAATTAGAAGGAAGTTTTGTTTGTCTTTGTTGTAATCGTTCAATTAATAAATCGGGTACTTCTTTTCTAGTTTTGTAAAAAAAGCGAGCCAATGGGTCTTTTAATCTCCTAAAAAAAAATAGAAAAAGGAAATAAAAACCAACCATCATATTTTGTAAAATATACCATCCTCTATCTTTTGGGACAGCTTCAAAGTTCTCTTTCATATTGTAAGCATGTCTTAAATCAACTGGATTGATCATATAAAAAAAATCCATTCCAAAATTATCAAACATACATTCAAGTGCTATGCGTCTTGGTTCAAAATCAGGTGATAATTCATCATGCCATTCAATTTCCAAATGATCAACTAATGCTAAGCTTTCATCAAGAACCATTTTTTCTAAAACAGGTATTTCAGCTCCTTCAATTGTAAATTTAATATAAACATAATCATCTACACGAAAATTTTCTGTCATCCATATTGAAAAATCAACTGATCGAACATATAATGCTGAATTTGAATCTATTTTAGATTTTTGTCCTTTTTCTGATGCATATCGTACTTGACCATTTTCAGTCCAAATAGCAACATCATAAACTGTTCCTTGAATCGGTCTATACCGTTGTTGTGTTAGCTTACAGGAAGAAAAATTTATTGGATCAGGTTCAAATGCAATAATATGAAGTGTTCCTAAACGTGCTATAGCTGCTGAATGAAAATGTAAAAAATAATCAATATCACGACCATCAAAACATCCTAGATCCACATAAAAAAATCGACGAGTTTTATTTTTTGGTGTCAATGTTACATTTTTAAGATAAGGCTCATAATCATAATAATATTCTTTACGTGGAATAGTTTTATGCTGCTTAGATTGATGAGGTATTGGTAATGTACTTGTCGGTGTTTTAGAAATTGCTTCTTCATACATAATAACACGTAATAAACATAGAATAAATATGCATATAGCCAGAAATAGAATTATATTTAGTATTAATGATATCGAACGAACTGATGATAAATAGGAAGCTTGAATTCTTTTTAAATCATTGTCATGTTTATAGATTGATTCGGGTAATAACATTTTTCTGAACTGTTATAATGAAAAAAAAACGAATTAAGATTTGTTACGGGTGATTTAAAATAATAAATATGTTTTACTCAATCAACCATCACTTACCTTGAGAGAGGATATTAACATAAGTATTTGTGATATCATATTCTTCTTTCTGCTTAATACATGCAAACGAATGCACGTACAATAACAATAGCCGAATAAATAAGAAAGTGTACGGATGAATGATTTTAAATAGTGTCAACGTGCATTGCTTTTCTTTTCTTTTATATAATCGATCAAGAAGAGAAAAAAAAGTATCGGAAGTAATCAAAAAAAAAGAAAATTATGCAAGAATCTAATAGAATCGTTAGGTTGCATATTAGTTCACATAAAACCAATTTAATCAACGAAAACAATTATATAATGATATATGTTTATTGAAATATGAGATAAAAAGATTCAAAATTGATGTATTTGTAACAGAATGAATTAATCTACTACTAGGAGAACTTATATATACATTTTGGGCTATTCACTCAAGTAGAATACCTCTGTTACTTTTTTTTAGTAACTGAAACCATATATATGAAAAATAGGGCTTATGTATCAGTTAGAGCGCATGCATAATGCTGATCATTTGCTTTATTCAAGTGCTGTTTCTTGTAAATAAACAAATATATTTCTCGAGATCTTTCTTGAAATCGTTTACTTACAGATGCATATTTCATTAAATGATCTTGAGAAAGTTTTCAGCAAGTGTTTTAATTTGTAACAGACAGAGAATCCGAATAAAAACAAGTGATCACCATAACGTATGTACTATAATGGAGACTAAGATCATATATTTTGAATATACAGTTGAGACTATACAAGAAAAAATAACTGAAATATGCAAGTTGATTGAGTTCTTCCATAGATACAGTAGTGTTCAAAATTGATCAAACACTTGACAAATGACGCTGTTTATTTAATATTTTAAAATCAGTTCATGATGTAGAGCTTTTGGTTTTTGTCAAAATATAGTCCAGTTGCCATAGTAATTATAAACGTTGAAATGTTTATCTTTCTGAGTTGCATCTTTATTGTGCCAGATCCATTTATTTTTGATTTGCCTCAAAATCGATCGTACATCTAGCACAAAAATAGATACGTAATAATCAATTAAAACTGTCGTACTTCATCCTTCTGAATGAGAAGACGCGTTTTTTTAAATGTTTTAACTGAAAACTCAAATGAAACTTCGTTGACATCTTTTAGAAATACATGTTCTCCTTTAGAAGGATGAAATACGACAGTTTTAACTGATTATTACATATCTATTTTTGTGCTAGATGTACGATCGATTTTGAGACAAATCCAAAAAAATAGGTCTAACACAATAAATATACGACTCAGAAAGATGAACATTTCAGCATATATAATTACTATAGCAACTGGGCTATATTTTGGCAAAAACCAAAAGCTCTACATGAACTGATTTGAAGATATTAAAGAAACAACGTCATTTGTCAGGTGTTCGATCAATTTGGAGCGCCAGTGTATATTTATATGAATAATTATTTCTTTTTTCCGGATGGTTAATTGCAAACATCACTTGCTACGCTCGCAATAACTATTTTCTACATTTCAAGCACGTCTACATACATTTTAGAGTTAACAAACCTACATAGAAAGAAAAAAAAAGTAGTAAAAATGAGTTATACTCAAGATTGACAAGTCATTATTAGTCAGTAGCATCCTGGTCATCTTCGCTTTTTCCAACATCATCTGGCTCTTCTTCGTCTACTTCTTCAGCTTGAGAATGTCTTTCGGTAGTTGACGTTGTCATTGTTTCTTCATCATTAGCATCACATGATTTTTGTGCTTCTTCCGATTTTGTTTCCTTTTCGTCTCCTTCTATGATTGATGTGAGACCGCTACCGTCCTTGTCATCATTTAAAGGTGTTTGGACAGCTTCGTTTACTTCTACTGTCGATGTCAACATTTGGTCTTCACTATTTCGTTTATTTAAACCATTACCATCAATTTTATCATTTGATGCGTAGTGTTTTTCTTCGTCATCTGATTGTACAGATAGTTTCTCACCTTCGTTAGTTGCAATTGCTGAAGATACCGTATCATCAATGCTTGGTACAGTATTGACAACAACAGTAGTAGCTGTTAAGAAAAATAAAAATAAAAACCATTAGATAAATGAGATAAAATAAATTACGTTGATCAACATCAGCCACTGATTCTTGATCTTTAATAACAAGTGCTTTGGTTACTTGCCATAAGGCAACTGAAGCGATGAAGAATACTAAAAACCTGTACAAGAAAAAAAGAATATCAAAATATTTTATTGATCTTCTTTTTCGTTTTTGTTAAAAAGAAAATTCATACTTGCTATTCATGATGGAATGAATATTGGAGGTTGATGTCAATGAAATTTCTCTCGTGAACTATTGTTTTTATATGGTCACCGATAAGACAAATGTGTTCATTGACATTTTACAATAGCTTTTGTCTCGTTTGTTTATTGATAATTGTTTCACGTAGATGAAAAAAAGACGGACAATATTCATATGATAAGAGTATTCTACGAAGGCTCTCTTCGTTTCGTTTATCTATCAAGTGTTTTCTTCAGAGTTCGAGTGTAGGACTATCTTTTAGTAGTTCAGAATGAAAAATAGATTAGTTCAAATCAAACATCTTCTTTGCAATCAAATTTTAAAATTGAAAAACAAATTTTTTTCTTTGCAAATCTTCTTGTTTATTGATGAATAGAATCAAAATAAAGAAAAAAAAAATTTTTCTAATTTATTTTTCACGAGATTCAGATGTTGGTGATGAGCTGCTTGATGATTTCAATGTTTCGACATGTGTTGTTGATTTGTCATTTGTTACTGAATGATCGTGAGCATGTGTTTCACCGGCAGCCACTGATTTAGTTGTAATAGTCTATTTAAAAAAATTAAATGATATCAAAGGAATTCAAGAAAAGAAAAGTTTATAGACTGTTGTAGTGGTTGATGCAAGACGACGTGACGCTTCTTGATGTTCAAGAGCAGCAACTTGTTCAGTGATTTTCGCTATTAGAAAAAAAAAATCAACAAATCAAATAAATAGTTTGAGATGTTTACTAATTTCTGCACTGCTTTGAGCTTGACAGTCTTTAAGAACATTCTAGAATGAAAAACAAACAATTCATTATAGTTCTTTGAAAAATAAAAGAATATGACGGGTAGCGAAGATTAAATAGGACAAAAACACTTCGATACGTTTTAGAATTTAGTTCTGTACTTCATCGATAAAAAATTTGTTGCTTTATAAAACACTGCTAACTTTAGTTTTTAAATAAATTTTTCTTGTAGAAATTAAATACAAAAGATTAGCGCATTCTTAATTGTTTAACTGCCATAATCAAAAACGGTAATGCAAAATTTTTAATGAATGTTTATCTGAGATTTGAAACACATTACAAAAGTCCCTTTCTTTCGATGTATACTTCACAGTTTTAGGAAAAATACTTATCAGAAAAAACACTCAAAAACAACCTTTTCTAAGAGAATTATGTGACTACTTTTTTTTATTCGAGAAAACTTAATTGTTTTTAATCTTGTTTTTAATCTTCAATTTAATAATCGCATCAATTTGTTCAGAATTAAATTCTACATTAGACATTATTGAAATGAACGTTTTATACAATAAGTAGAGGTTAGACAAACATAAAATACTTATATTTGTATTTTAAGATGAATACTTTTCTACTTGTAGTTAAGTACGGATAATAGGACTTTGTACTTTTTAATTGATTTATAGATAAAATAAATTTCGTTAATAAGATTGACTAAATCTGACAGTTTTTTAAAGACCATTGTAATATTTTCTGATGAGCAAAACAGGACAATAAAAGCATTTTAATGAAAATGTTTACTCTAATACGCCGATAACTCCACTGTATATCTTTCTTTATTATTCGTTTTCTTTAGAATTAGGATGGACATCTGAAAATAATGATTCTCGTTTCATTCATCTATCAGCTTCTTAGAATAAAAATTTTCATTAAAGTATTTTTATTGTCATGTTATGTTCATCAAAAGATATTACAATGGTCTTTAGAAACTCGTCAAACCAAGTTAACCTTATTGATAAATTTTATTTTATCGATATCCCAACTAAACAGTACAAAGCCCTGTTTTTCGTACTTAAATATAACTACAAAAGTATTCGTCTCAATGTACAAATGTCTGAAAACTCTAGATCTTTAAAACTTGTTTTGTGGCACTCATTTGAAACTTTTTGGAAATGATTTTATTTGATAAAGCAAAATTAGATGTCTTGCCTCTTTCTATGACGTTCCTTTATTGAACTGTATTTAGGTTTTAGAAGATTTCAGAAGCATTTTTTGTTTTTATCAAAAAAAATTCAAGGATTTCGTCGTGCTTAACGCTTTGGAAACTTTCATAAATCGAACGCAGTTTGATGTAGGAACATCATGAGAAAAGACAAAACATTTCCTTTTGACTTATTCAATGAAATCATTTTCAAAAAGCTTCAAATGTCTGCTGAAAAACGGATTTGGAAGTTTTTGATTTTCCAGACATCGTTATTCAAATAGTTTTATTGAAGCTTTTTGGTCCACTAATCTTAATAGAAAATCCTTTCGACTATTCAAATATTTTTTTCAAATTCATCTAAGCTATTACCATTGAGAATACCACTTGAAAATACGATTGCTCCAAACTTGTATTCATCCTTATAGATGTTAGTTTTCAACCTTTTTCTCTTAAAAAATAGCAGCAGGAATCTTAAAAAGATCGTGGAAGCAAAGAGTACAAATATTTTCTATCCATTGAGGTTACATACGTTACTTTTAGCATCGGTCTTTATGGGCAAATACTTACACATATCAACAGATATCTGCAGAAAAGTACAAGTAGACGATTGAACATAGAACGATTATCGAAGTGTTCAAAACAAGGAAAATGATTACGTCTCATTTAATCTGTGCTACCCATAATATGTTAAACTAACCATTTTTAGACGATTAGCCTCTGAATTAAGATCATCAATACGTTTACGAGCTGATTCAAGTATAGCTTCTTGTCGTACATCAAGGTCTCTTTCAAGTTGAACAAGTAAAGCTGCTTTTTCATTATCAAGTGTAGCAACATATTCTTGTAATCTCGATTTAAATTCATTTTCAATTTCTTAAAAAAAAATAAACTAATTAAGAAAAACAATTTCAACGCATAAAAACTGAATTTACCGTTTGTACGTAAATTAGCATCATCAAGAAGTTGTTGTTGTTGTAACTGTGTTTCAGCAACAATCTTTTTAATTGATTCAGCAACAGCTTCATTAATTTCTTCAGTACGTTTACGTGAATATTTATCAACTTGATGATAAGTTGTTCCTTCAATGAAACGTTACAGATCTTTATTCATTATTATATTAATTTTATATGAAACTTACCAAGACGTGCCATAAGATCTGCTATCTTCTTGTTATTTGCAATACTAACTTTCGATTGTGTTTCGCTTTGAACAACCGATTGTACAAGAACATTTTCAGCTTGTGCTGAATGTACTTGGGCTGAATTGGATGATGATTTGGCAGTGGGCGAAGTTGTATTCGACATAATCAATATATTGGAATGAGAATCGTAATACGAATAAAATTTCTACGAAGGAATGTAAGGCAAGAAAACAAAAAGTATGATCAGATATATATGTATAACCATATATCGATATCGATTGGCCTCGATCACATTCTCTCTTTGTTTTGTATGGAACGCAGCTTCACATGTTTATTCTCCAAGACAAACTATCCATTTTTTTTATTCGTCCGTCAAGACACGATAAAGAAGATGGATGATATAACCTTCAACTATGTGAAATATTTACAATAAATGCGCAATCAGTGACAGCATGATCGAAGAGAAAAATAAAACACGTCGTTGATAGCATGTTTTAAGTTTATAAGAGATAAATTAGACACAGAAATAAATATATCTGCATTGAATGAAAATTAGATCAATGGAAAATAAACAGGACGATCTTTGAACATGTCTTTGCTTCGGAATTTTTCTACCAAGAAATAATCAACAAGAATACAAGCAAATTATGAGTGAAAGACATCACCAAAAACCGCATAGGATACTGAAAGAATATATCTTTTAATTTTTATATATTGTATCCTTTGTAACATTTTCTATTCTTTTTAAGTTGCGATGAGAACATAGTTTTTCTTTTAAGACAGAAGACTACATAACGCAGAAAGTATACGATTTGAAAATTTATGACATCTACTGATTTTTGCTTGAATACAATTGTTAACATAGATAACTTTGTGAAACACGATCAAAAAGGAATGTCAAAGTAGAGAGGTAGAAGAAAGAATACCCTTATCTTTCAGCTACCTAGCAATATAGATGCAGTCTAGCAGCAGATTCAATCATCAGATATCTTTCATACAGTTATGGTTAGCTGTAGCTTTGGACAGAATGCTACCGTGATGCAAAGTTCTTGAACATAATCGCTTGAGCTTACCATATATACTAACTAAATACATACTAACCATAAAAGGACGTGTATGTCAAAACGTGATCAGCGTACTATCGGGCTGCTGATCCGAGACAACTAGTCGTTAGTGACATGTCCAGAGTCATCCCTATCGATTCGCCACAGCCATTATTAATATTCGATCGAAGACTGCACATCGTTAATGAATATATGAACTTCTTCTTTATTGCACTACTGGAGGATTATGTAAACGTACGATGAAGATATATGTACCAAAATAGATTGAGTAAAATATTCTTCTGTGATTAAGAATCCTCAGCTAGATCATGTTTCACATTTTAATTTCACAAGGATTGTGCTAAAAGCTTTTGTAATCAAATGATTTTCGAATTATATTTATATTGCATCATACAAAGTTACGAGACTATAAAATTGATTTACTTTGCTCAAAATTAAAACAAAAATTTATTTTTGTAACAAAAATAGAATCAAATTTTACTTTTCAATAATTTATTCTGCTTAATGTGGTCTTTTTTATTTAGCTGTTATAGTCAACGTTTTGTAGATCATTCTTATAATAAATATAACTATACATAGATAACAAGAAGAAAAGAAAAAGAAAGAAAATATATCAGCACCGAAAAATTATAATATGACAGAAAAAAAGTAGTTATAATATACAGTAAACTATAAAGATATTAAACGAGCAACTACATAGGACTTTGTGCTATTTGAACTCGACGTGTTGGTTTTCGTTTAGGTGTTGTTGTTTCTGATGTTCGTCCGAATTTAACTCCACGTCTTGTTACTTTACTTTGACGATGTACAACTGATTGAGTGCCAAGAATATTTGCGAGTTCATCAAAATCAACTTCACCATGATGATCATCTATTATTTGTGTTGTATCATCAACAAAACTATCATCTTCATCATAATTATCATCATGCATTGTCATATTTGGTAATTGAGAATAAATATCTTCAATTGGAATCGGTGGTGGTGGCGGACGGAAATTTACTTTTGGACTTTTTATACTTTTTAAATAAACACTTGTCATATCGATATTTGCCATTTGTGTTAGAACTTGCCGGTCATCAATAAAATGATCATGTTCATTTAGATCATTATTATGGTGATTCTTATCATCATTTTCATCTTCATCAGATGATACTATATTAGACAATGCTTCATCAACAATAGCTTCACGATCGAGAAAATCTGATGCAAGTCGTCGATGAAAATGTCGTTCTTGTTGTTTAATATTGAGTTCTTGTACACTTTTAGATTTTTTTCTTTCAATTATATCAGGTGTTGTTGTTGAAAGACGTCGAATACGTTTTTTAGATGGAACTCGTCGAATTGGTGTTTCAAATTTATCGGAACATGTTGTTACATTATTTTTATTCGTTGTTTCATATTTAGTACTAAAACAGAATAAAGAAAAATAATTTTATTAAACTAGAGTTTTACAGTGCAATGCAAAAGGTAGGCTTGAGTTCGATTATGAAGAGTCATTTCAAAGCCATAGTTGATCTTACATTTAATAGTTAGTATTTATGACTACACTAAACACAAAGAGATTGAGCATTTCTTTGAACTTAAAAATGTACTCGTATGATTATGTTATCATTCATACACGTAATAGGTAACTTCAAGAGTCCTACCTATAACGAAAAATGTGTGTGTCAAGTTATATTTATAGTGCAGAGAGCTATAGTAACTTATTTTTCGAAATGACTTCTTATTTATTTCATTAGCTCATCGAGATAGAAGCTGATACCGTTAAAAGCACTTTTTAGTATACAAGATGACTTTAAGGGATAAGATAAAAACCATTAAAATGTTCGAATAGTATAAACACTACAATGAATATTTATAGATAAACTTGATTTTTATTAGTTTATATCATATTTTTCAGACATTAAAGAAAGGTTCCTATCACCTCTTCCTTATTCTCATCATCTTTAATATTAAAAAACTCGAATAAGATATTTCTAACTTGAAATTTAACTCATGTGAAAACTTCAGTGTCATTAGCATGTTCTAAACTAGCTACGTAAATCAATGCTACCTTGCTGAGATAATCGAACTTAATAACAAAAATAATTTTATTATTAATTCGAAAAGTTCACTTGTTATCCCAACAGGGAGTAATTGGTTTTGGCCAAAGCTGCTGAAATATTCTAGTGATTTTGCGGCCTACATACGGTCCAAATATCGAACCAAAATATGTCTTATGGCGAATCGAAAGCGTTACATAGAAATCATAACTCGAAAAAAACTGTCAACAGGACTGAATCCTTTTTTTTTTAAATTATCATACTTCATCAAGATATAAGTATATTTTCTTTTAAGAAGAAATACAAATGAAAACTTACATGTCAAGTACATTGTCCATTTGTTCATCACTGCTATCAAGGTCATCAAAACTAAATTCTAAATCAAATTTTGGTAATGTAACATCAGTTGTTTGAATATTTTCTTGAGTTTGTGTATTAATTCTATTAGTAAGTATTAATACAGGACTTGGATTAGTTATCTGATCTGATGATGATTCAATATGTTTATTAAAGGCTTCTAATAATTCATCGTCATCCATATCATCATCATCAAAAACATTTTTCTGTTGAGATTGTATATCATTTAATTGTAATGTTGGAGATGAATGAGATACTTGAGATGATGGAAATAGATCATCAATAGTAATATTAAAATTTCCAATATTGTCATTATTATCATTAATTGTAACATTAGAACATACAATATCATCATTATGATCCTGTATTGATTTATTTTGTACTGAATTTGATACTTCTGGAAGAATTAATTCTGAATGTGTAGACGTTACGTCAAATTTTGAACCAGCTAAAATTTATAAATTAAATATTTAAAACAAAATATATTGTTCTTTTCTTTTGAAAAAACAACATATAAATACTTACTACCAAATAAATCTCCACAATCAATTTCTTCATCAAGTATTTCTTCTTGTTGTTGATAAATAATTGGTTGAAGATTTAATAATTGATCACATTCTTCTGGCATTTTTGCTAGATCAAGTGGCGAACAAGATCGTTTAGTTTTTATTTGGTCTTCTAATTTTGATCGATCAAATGGTGATGGCATTTTCGGTCGATTAGGAATATTGGTTTCTACTGTTGTTGGTTCATGTTTTGTTATTGATTCATCAATTGGCCATGTCTAAAATAGGTTTATGCCTTTTTTTTTTAATCAAACACAATCTAAAAGAAGTCGTAAAGTATTAGGGTAAAAGTCTGAATCCGCCACAGACAGTAATAGATACTAGCTAGGGACCATCGCAAACTATGACCGGCGTTATTTAGAGGCTATCGCTGCCCATGACAGACACTAATTAGAGACTATTACAGACCGTGACACGTACTTGTCAAGGACAATCATAGACGTTATTTAGAGATTATCACAGACTGCGGCAGATGCCTTGACAATGTTTTTACTCACTGTGACAGACATTGATATCCCATCAAAGATAGTATATCACTAACGTCTCGTTTTAAGATATGAACTATGCTGCTATTACATTTTGATGGAGGATTCACTATGTTGAAGTGATGTGTTCCAAAATAGATAGAATAAAGCAATCTTCCTGTGATGATCAGTAGCTGCTGAATCGTGTTTCACATTTGAATCTCATCGGGACTGCTCTAATAACTTTTTTCTATGAAAATATCAAATGGAATTTCTTATTTAGTATTATAACTTTAAAATAACTCTATGATTCAATATATTCGAGTCATCGATATAACTTACATTATTTGGAATATCAACATAAACTCTTTCGTTTGTATAATTTTTCATAAAATTTACAAATATTTTTGTTCGCGATGAGTGCATTGAAGGACTTTGAATTTCTCGTTGTTCATTTGACCATTTTTTCATGGCTGTTTTAGTCATTAAAATCAAACGATCTTTCTATAATATAAAATCTTTCTAAGAATACATTGAATAAACGAAAATAAAAAAAATCAACTTACAATAGGAGTAGGCATTTTGTCATCATCATTATTATCATTTAATTGATAATTTCTTACCCAATGATAAAATTCATTATCATTAAGTAATTTATCTTTACGAAAT